ATTGAAACCTTTGTAAGTGTATTTTCTCGATACCTATTTTTTGCCGACAATTTTTTGTTCCTTAATTCTTATGACTGTTATACCTAAATCTTGTATTTCTTATACGTAATTCATGTTTTTAATAGGATGTTAAAAGATTTCGTTGTCGTGTCCATGAGTATGTCCCTTACGACGTTCAAATTGAATCGTACTTACGACATGTCGGTTTTGGTCCGTTACTCAACATAGTCAATTACCATGTTGACTATAAAATTATTCTCACATTAGTGGAGAGATGGCGACCCGAAACTCACACCTTTCATCTTCCATGTGGTGAATGTACAGTCACACTAGAGAATGTGTACATGTTATTCGGTCTACCGATCGACGGTAAGGTTGTCAATGGCCGAGTCAACCAAGAGAATGCCATATGCAAGGAACTTTTGGGAGTCTCTTTATTTGGACAAGGATCAAGAGGCCAAGGTATTAATCTCCGCCTTCTTAGAGAATATCATAGTAGTCTCATAATAACCAAAAACTCTACCGAGCAAGAAAAATTGTGAAAGCTCAGTGTTACCTAATGATATTATTTGGCCATTTTTTATTTCCTGAAACAACGGGTAATACTGTTAATATCATGTATTTACCCTTGTTAAGACAATTTGATAAAATAAACACATACAGTTGGGGTTCAACTGTTTTGGCCCATCTGTATAGCTCCTTGCGTAAGAATGCATCGAACGGTAGCTGTTCTTTCTATTCTTGCGCCTTTTTGCTCCAGACATGGTGCTGGTCGAGAATGCTGACACTCGCTCCAGCAACACAAGGTCATTCGTCTTCCCCTTTGCTACAAAGTAAGATTACAAAACCATAAATTTTACATATTATATACTGAGACATGTAGTGTATTAATTTATTACCCATTTTTTCTATATAGGTTGTCTATTCCTAGGATGAATTACAACAAATCCCCTAGAAACGCAATAGTAGTCTACCGAAATCTTATTGATCATGTTGGACCCGAAGAGGTATTAAACTTATATATTTTATACAACGCATTGAATATTTTAATTAAGTTTAATATTTTATATAACTTTTTTTACTCTACAGTTTGTATGGAGGCCGTATAAGGATCTCGACCATGAGATTAACCCTCCTGATGCTGAAGTATGGACTGCAAAAACATCACTCATCAGGTTCATTACTGTGGAGATGCACCACAGTGATCGTGTGAAGCTACAGTTTGGCATGCAACAGGGTATCCCCGACCCCCAACATGTTGGGCCAATGGCATCTACTCCGAGTTGACGACCAGTGGGGATTTAACGATTTGAGAGACTTCGCTAAAAATCAATGTCGTCAATGGAGGCATAGACGTGAATTGGTCCTAAGGGAGCCGATCTTGCAAGATGACTTAAAATTGACGCTCTAATATTTGAGATGGTACACATCGGTTTCGACAAATTTATTTCTGTCTCAAGAGACTTATTTGATTGACTCACGCCAAAGAGCTACAACATACGTCCAACAACAACCACAACAACCAACCCCTCAACAATACCAGACCCAACAATCAACCCCTCAACAATACCAAACCTAACCACAATGTTAACCCACTCAAACCCAACAACCATACACCACCTCATTCAACCAAACTCGTCATCAATTCATGCCACACACACAAACACAATACCAAGAGCATGACCCGATCCACCACCAACAATATGCACCATCCTCATCCTACCACAACACCCAAGACACATATGATACATCTCCTTCCTACCATACCACTCAACCTCCATACGGTCAAACATCATACCATCAAAGTACCCAACCATCATACGGATTTCAGACACCACAAGAACCGTTGCTTCGTTTTCATCATGATTCAACATCCCAATACTATCAACCACCCCACCACCCACACATATCCCAACCAACAAGACCAAACTTCAACAATATGGGCACCGATCTCTTTGGAAGCACAGCTCAGTGGGACGAAATGATCGATGAGATGTATGATCCTGATATACCAGGACTATCACATCAAGCACCTCATAATCAAGCAAGTCAGAACAGACCACAAACACCTCGGAAAAATCAACAGAGAGGAGTGAGACAAGGGGCGAGGCAAAGGCGCGGCCGTTTATGTCATACGGGGACCCGCTTAGGTTGAGGGGACGTCCATAAAAAACGTATCCATGCGTTGTATAATATTAAATATTAATATAAAATATTTTTAATTTTTTTTTATTTTATTTAAAAAATTACAATTACACTGTCAAGTCAAGGAGGGTGGCGCCTCCTCTCAAAAGCACATGCATGTGCCACACTGTATGGCTTTACAGAGGAGGACAAGCCATGCAGTGTGGCGCCTCCTCTTTAATTTGAGTGCATGCGCCACACAGAGTGGCGCCTCCTCTGTGTGGCGAAATTTTTTTATTTGAAAACTGGTCATTTTGATAAAAAATTTAAAAATGTGGTTATTTGGAAGAAAAAAAATTGAGAAAAATGATTATTTAAAAAAAATCAAATTATTATGGTCTTTTATTCCATTTTGAAGAGTATTAGAAACAATCTTAGAGGTGGCAAGTTAAATTTCCTATCTGTTGTAATTTATTGGCTTTGGCCTAGAAGAATTATTTAAGAGTTCTAATTAATTAGTTCTAAAAAAATTAAATTAAAATATATTGATTTATTCAATAAAAAATTTAAATATTTAATACATTATTCTAGTCATCAATATTATGTGATTAAAATATAAATTTTTATCCTAATTATCAGTGTCATTTGGAGAGACTCAATAAAATCTTAAAGGAGGTCAATTGAGGGACAAAAATCTGGTTTTTAAAATAGTGGAGACACAAAGGAATAACCATCTGGCATCGTTCAAAAACTCAAAAACAGAGGTGATCCCAATCTGACCTTGTTCAAAGTTATTTATGTTCCAACAAGAAAAAGTGGTGGCCTCAATCTGGTTTCGTTTAAAAATTATTTTGTTTCTTTAAATTAGTCATGGTAATGGGGGAGATCGATTTTTATCTTTTAAATTCAAATTTAAATTCTCAAATAATCATCGATTTCCGCTCCAACTCTAAATTTAAACAGATATAGAGAATTAAAATCTAAATTCGTCTCAAACAGGTTTGAATATCCTCGCCATATCATCATCTATTTAGTAAAATTAATTTTTTTAATAAAAATATTTTTTTTTTTAATTATATTATATTATAAATAATAAAATAAAATAATCTCAAAAATTACATAAATATATTTCAAATATTTTAAATAATAAATATAAATCAAGTCATCAATTTTATAAATGAAATGAATTCGGAGTGAGTACCAGTGTCTTCATTACCCGACTTATTCTCATATTTTATAATCGAAGAAAATCTAAATTCAAATTCAAACTCATTCAAAACAGATTTTTCCTCTTAACATCCGGTGATACATATTTTGTCGTCATACCTACCTTAAATTCTAAAGACGGATGAAGATATCATAACATAATGTGAACCAATATGTGCATAAAACATTTAAAAGGGCAAAATAAAACAACTTGGTATCTATTCAAAATGCAACCAAATGCTATAATAAATCCAAATCAAATAATGTCATTTAACAGAATGTGCTAAAAATAATATAATCCTTTGAAAGTGGCATTGTAAAATGAATTCAGTTCAGCCATATATTTCTTTACACTCTCTAATCAATTATTCAACCGAGAAGCCACGCCGCATCATAAAAGATTGTTTTGTAGTAATTTCTGCAAAACTATACAAATCCAGATTTTCTACTTGTGCTCCCCATACAATTTCTGATACTTCTGAATCTTCCCTGTCACTGCTCTCCTCTATCACTAGCATTCGAAATGTTTATTCTTCCATACTTGATTTGTAGAGAATTTCTCATCACAAGGGAAATATGATCAAACATCAACACATGATCAAGAGATGTCTTCAGTTTCTATCCAAACGAAAGATTTTACAATGGATTTAAAGAACTTTTAAAGACTGTATAGGAAAGAGTTGTTTGAACTACAAATATTGATTCGTTGTGTTGTGATCTACTTGCTACAACATATACTATTAAATAACTTATCATGAATGCTTGAATATTTACAATTTCATGAAAGTTAAACTATTTTAAGATTTGTTGTGAATGACTTAATAGGTTGATGGATATGATTTTTTGTAAGCCATTTGTAACATTTGAAGGCCCAAATTTATTTGTTCAGTGTAAGAAAACATTAAATTGGGCCATTGGTTATATTTAAAGGTCCAAAGTTTTTATTTAATATTGTTTTATTTAAAAAATTATAACGTAGCCGAATTTTTTATGACAATTAAAAATCAATTAACCGAACAGATTTGTTCGAACCAATTAAATTATTAAATCAAATCCGATCAAGCGATTAAAAATTCAGTCAAAATTGAGCCTAACAAATTCATCCATGGTTTCGGTCAATTTGACATATTGGATCCGAGCCAACCCAAACCGACCGGAGTCCATCCCTAATTTAGCACATACCTCAAATGTGAATGCTAAATCCATAGGTTATAGGTCTAGTAAATAAATTTGCAAAGGCACCAAGACAAACATTTTGACGAGTGATCTTCATATTTTCATCTCGAGACAAAACTAATACGAGCATAAAACACTTACAAGAGCAAGATTGAACAACTTGGTATCTATCATCAAGTATGAAACTTTGTTTATATAAATTCAAAACATTTGGGCAAAATAGAACAACTTGGTATCTATCATCAAGTATGAAATTTTATTTATATAAATTCAAAAAGTAATTGATGCTATAATAAATCCAAATCAATAATCTCAGTTAAACAAAATGTGCTAAAAATAATAATCCTTTGAAGTGTCATTGTAAAAACAGTTTAGTTCATCCATATATTCCTTGCACTCTAATTAATCATCCACTTATGAGCTGCTCACATACCCACACCACCTTGTATGCTCGTGAGGGAAACATTTGAAGCTGCAGCTTCCATGTCGTCGAATCATCCTCTCTTCACAATAAATTCTGGAGAAATTATTCGCCCAACAACTTTAATATGGGAGATGCTGCACCAGAGTAAGCCAATTTATCATAGCAGAAAAACATATAAGCAAATACGACTGTTGATATCATACTGTGAGTGTGACTGATAGACACTAAAGTGATGAACAAAGAACCTAAATCTGTATGCATGTGAGTGTGACAGAATATGTTAGTTAGTTAGGTGTAGGTTGATTCCATGTCATTCAATTGTGTGTTAGGAGAGAGGGTATTCAGGACTATTGCTATTGAGTTGGTTAGGAGAGATATGTCTCTGGTTAGGAATCTCTAACTCTGGACATGTGATCCTATGCTCATCATTTCTATTGAATAACATATACACATTTCATCAATCTGGATTTGTGAAATCCATCAATGACCAACTTATCAATTCCGTTTAAATTGGCAATAATGCTCTTCTTCAATCAATATTTGACCCAAACGACAATATGTGAGAGGGAGAGATGAGATTTGAGAAACATACCATATGTAGAATAAATTATCATTTTCATTTTTTTGAGCACTTCCCAACAGCTCCACCATCAGAAAACCTCCAATGCAGAAAACAGGTTCAGGTAGCTTGAAATGCTGTAACTTGTTTTCCTGTACAATATGCCGCCAATGCATTTCAAATTTCATAAACATTGTATGATAAAAAATGCAGTTCAAAAGGGTAAAATTTCATAACCATGCTTGTTATTTTAAGAAGGTACAGAGAGATGAGAAACCACACCACCTCAAAAATAACTTGGTATATTTTGTAATTACCAAGACATCATTAGATATCCACATGAGAACGAACTTAGAAAATCTAAAGAGAAAAGGAGAGAATGTGCTTATCAAATAGCAACCAAAAAAGACAGAATTCAAAACAAAGTGTTTTTCCTTTTTGCCCCTTTATCCAAAAACAAACGAACATGAATGATCTCTTCAACCCTTGTGCTACTAAATGAGCCAAGTACCTTTTAATAAAAGATTTAACCACCAAAATATTTTACTATTCCAACCAACTACTCTGCCCTACCAATACCCCTTCAAAGTTGAAATTTAGGAACCAAGATCTGATTGTTGCCTTAACCTTCATAAAGTGCTTCTTCCACTTAGAATTCCATCTTGACAATCTCCACTTCTTTATCCTTTGTTTGTCTTTTGTCAACATTGTTACTATAAATATTTTTCTCTACGCATCTATGCAATGGAGAAAATGGTTGGCAAATGTTTGTAAAGAATCTAATTCACTTGTTTGCACTTTTTTGGTTCACACTACTACTGCCACTAGGCATGGCAGAGTGCAGGATTGATTTACTTCCTCTCTTGGACCCTTCCGGTTTTTAGAATTGTAGGGTACCACTTTGACGCAGTCGGAAGCCCTAGAGAATAGCAAGCGCTAACCTAGAATGAAAAACAGAATTCCAAGCGCAAAACCTATCAGATAAACTCTGGAGTCCATCAGAAATAAAGAAAAATTCAAATTTTATTATATGAAAGATAACCCTTATGATCACGCCAAAGGTCTTTAAATACATAAAACAAAATAACCCTAATGGGTCTTATGGGCTTTTAATCAAAACATAATTAAATAAAACAAATAAAATAAAAATTGCTTAAATATTAAAATAATATAGTTTAAATATTAAAATGCTTTCTGACGCGCGATATCTTCTTCGATACGCCAAGGAAGCCCTCCTACATCAGACTCCTTCGCTTCTGAAGAACTCGACTTCGAGTTCTCTTCTTTATAAAGAGCTTCATCTGATTGCAATTTGCTGTAAGTACCAACTGGAAATCTCTCTTTATGCAGAAACGCCATCACATCTTCTCCCACATTGAAAACTTTAACTTCCATGTGTTTATCTCGCATAGGAGACAAATCGTTTGGTAGCTCATTTGCGGTCGACTCCTTGAAATCCTTTAGGACCCCAAGCAGTTCTACAAGAATTGTTGTTTTCTCCTTTACATCATTCATCATCTCTTTAGTCAATACTAGACATAAAAATTTAGTTTCTTTAATAGTCTCATTAATCTCCTTTCTACTCGGTGTCATCACCAAGAAACTTGACTTTTTTCCTCCTGAGTTCTTGTCAAAGTGTAAAACAGGAGTCATAGCAATTTTATGTGTACTCCATGTAAACATTATCATGTTATCCCTTCCTCGATAAGTGATATCAGTATCAAATTGCCAAGGTCTGCCAAGTAAAACATGACAAACACCCATATCAAGAACATCACAAAGTACCTCTTCTCTGTAATGCTTTCCGATGGAGATAGAAACTTTGTATGATAGTGTTACTCGAACTCGGGATCCCTTGCTTACCCAACTGAGGGTGTATGACTTCTTATGAGATTCTGTGGACAACTTCAAATGATCTACCAATTTCTGTGAGAGCAGATTCTCCATGCTGCCACTATCCACAATCAAATTACACACCTTGTTCTTGATAGAACAATGCGTTTTAAACAAATTCTTGCGTTGTCCTTCGTCTTTGGATGCTAGTAACATTCTCTGCAACACAATTTACCCTCTCATCATATTATTCCTCTACAAACTCAACATCGGTATATTCATCATTCTCAATTGCAGAATCTTCTCTTTCCTCATCTTCCTCCCTTTCTTCCACAACAGCAGTGACTCTCCTTGTTGGACAAACATTCGATTTGTGGCCTCTTCCGTTACAACGATAACATGTATCTATAGTGGGTCTAACATATGGATTATTTTGCCTCTAGATTGGTGTTTTACCCTGTTGTACACCGCTAGAGCTGCTAATCCCCTTATTCCCAAGGTTGGAATCCCGGGGAGTTGCACTTTTTTCTTTGTCACCTGCTGATTCAGAGTTATTCTGGGGTAAGTACCTTATTGAATTAGGAGAGACTAAGAGACATTTAAGTTAAACTGTGTGTTTTGAAAGCACTACGAAGACTTTATTTTATATAGAGAGATTACAATTAATCACGATATAATCGATGTGGGACTATTCTACATACAAATATTCTTAACAGTATATATATTTACAAATATCAATGCTCCCCCTCAAGCTGAAGCATATAAGTCAAATACACCAAGCTTGCCACATATATAATTAGTTATGGGGCTTCGCAGAGATTTTGTAAACACATCTGCCAATTGATCATTAGAGTTGACAAAGCTTGTGACGATGTCGCCAGATTCAATCTTCTCTCTGACAAAGTGACAGTCTATCTCAATATGTTTGGTCCTCTCATGGAAGACTGGATTTGAAACAATGTGTCATGCAATTTGATTATCACATACAAGTGTCATTGGTCTTGCTTCTTCAATTTTAAGTTTTCTGAGCAACTGTTTTAACCAAATGAGTTCACATGTTGCCATTGCCATGGCCCTGTACTCTGCCTCGGCGCTTGATCTTGCAACTACATTTTGTTTCTTACTTTTCCAGGATATAAGGTTTCCTCCAACAAGTACACAATACCCAGAGGTGGATCGTTTATCAATTGATGACCCTGCCCAATCAGCATCAGAGTATCCAACTATCTGAGTATGTCCTTTATCGTCATGCACTAAACCTTTTCCTGGAGCACATTTGATGTATCTTAGAATCCGGATAACAGCATCCATGTGTTCCTGACAAGGGGAATTTAAGAACTGACTTACCACACTGACTGCAAAAGAAATGTCTGGACGAGTGACTGTGAGATAATTCAACTTTCCAACCAATCTCCTATACCTTCCCGAGTCTAATAGAGGCTCCCCCTGATTGGGTAGTAGTTTGACACTTGGATCCATAGGAGTATCAACTGGTTTAGCGTTCAACAAACCTGTTTCTTTCAAAATATCCATAGCATATTTTCGTTGAGAAATCACCAAACCATCTTTAGATTGGGCTACCTCAATACCCAAGAAATACCGGAGTTTACCAAGATCCTTTGTCTGAAATTGATTCGAAAGATGTTGTTTCAACTGGAGTATTCCCGACTCATCACTACTAGTTATGACAATATCATCTACATACACAATAAGATAAATGCACCCTTGGACTGAGTGACGATAAAAGACAGAATGGTCAGCGTCACTACGGACCATACCAAATTGTTGTACTACATTGTTGAATCTACCAAACCAAGCTCTCAGAGATTGCTTAAGACCATAAAGAGACATGTGTAGCCTACAAACCATATTTGATGACTCCTCCTGAGCAACAAACCCAAGTGGTTGCTCCATATATACTTCCTCTTCAAGATCACCATGTAAAAATACATTTTTGATGTCAAGTTGATGAAGAGGCCAATGTCGGATGGCTGCAATGGCTAGAAGAAGTCTAACAGATGTCATCTTGGCTACAGGCGATAAGGTATCACTATAATCCAACCCAAAAATCTGAGTGTATCCCTTGGCTACCAAGCGGCTTTAAAACGATCAATCTTACCATTTGGACCAACCTTCACTGTATAAAGCCAACGACAACCTACTAAAAATTTTCCAGTGGGTAGAGGAACCAGTTCCCAGGTACGACTGCTTTGAAGAGCACACATTTCACCAATCATTGCTTGCCTCCACTCGGGGTGAGATAATGCTTCACCTGGAGATTTAGGAATAGAAACAGAAGACAGAGAGGATAAACAAGTATACTGCAAAGGAGAAAGACGATGATAACATAAATCAATATAATGTGGAGAAGGATTTTGTGTTTGACGTATACCTTTGTGAAGGACAATCGGAAGATTAGACTCAGGTTGCAGAATCGAATTCGATGATGGCTATAGCGTCGGAGGAGAGTCTACAACGACCTCAGGGACATGTACAACCTCAGAGACAGGTATGACAGACGTTGGTTTACGACGCTGATATGTTTGAAGTGGGCGAGGAGTGGGGGGTCAACCGTAGGGGTTTCTCGTGGGACAGGTTCCCTAGAATGATGGAAGATAATGGAAAATGGGACTTTCAGAAGAGGTGTGGGAGTACTTTCCTGAAGGGGTTCCGGAGTGACTTGGGTGGACACAAAATATAGCACAGACTCGAAGAAGATAACATCGGCCGATATCAGGTATTGTTGCAGAGTGTGTGAGTAGCAACGATAACCCTTTTGAAATCGATGATAACCAAGAAAGACACACTTTAGTGATCGAGCTGATAGTTTATCAAGACCAGGGGAGAGATTATGCACAAAACATGTAGACCCGAAGACTCGAGGAGGAATTGGGTGAAGAGGAGAGTTTGGAAACAGGATTGAATGAGGGTTTTATTATTAAGGACAGATGAGGGCATGCGATTTATGAGATAACACGTCGCGAGCACAGCATCCCCCCAATCTGAGAGGTACATTAGCATGGAGAAGTAGAGTCCGAGTGGTTTCTACGAGATGCCGATTTTTGCGTGTGGCTACCCCGTTTTGTTGAGGTGTATGAGGACAAGATGTTTGGTGCAGAATACCATTGGATGACATAAAAATTTGAAATTGTTGGGATAAATATTCACGTGCATTGTCACTTCTTAAGGTATGAATGGACAAACTAAATTGGGTTCTTATTTCTCGATAAAATAGTTCAAAAATAGAAAACAATTCTGATCTGTTTTACATTAAAAATAGACACGTGCAACGTGAAAAATCATCAATAAATGTTACAAAATACCTAGACTCAAAAGTAGACACGGTACGCGATGGACCCCAAACATCGGAGTGAACTAAAGCAAAAGGGGACGCAGCCCGTTTATTCACTTGATCGGGAAAGTGACTACGAGTATGTTTCCCTAATTGACAAGACTCAGACTGTAAAGTGGATAATTTAGATAAACTGAACACCAACTTTTGTAGCTTGGGAAGACTTGGATGGTCTAAATGCGCATGAATAATGAGTGGAGAATCTGTGGTGGAGTATGTGGTAGATGACGTAGAGAAGTAGTAGAGGCCTTGAGACTCACATCCGACGTCAATCGTCTGTTCCAAACTTCGATCTTGCAGAATAACATAACTGTTAGTAAAAGTGATAGAACAATTAAGGGAACGAGTTAAACAACTGACTGACAGTAGATTAAATGGGCAATTAGGTACATATAAGACAGAAGTAACAAAGAGAGATGGTAGAATTTGAACAGTACTGATCCCTTGGGATCGGGTTTAAGAACCATTTGCGACAGTTATACTTGGTAAGAAACCAGAGGTAGAAAGGGAAGAGAAAAGATTTTTATTACCGGTAACATGATCAGACGCACCAGAGTCGAGGACCCAAGGACCAAGAGGAGATGATTGAGAGACGCAATCAGATGAATTACCAGTGTGTGCAATCGAAGCCGTGGAACCAGAGGTCTGGTTAGTCTGACACCACCTGAGAAAATCCTCGTAGCTTGGCGTAGGATTCTGAAGAGAAGTTGAAATCTGCATAGTGTCTGGGTTATCAATTTGAGCTGCATTTACTTGCCGTGGAGGTTTTCCATGCAACTTCCAGCAACGATCGATAGTATGTCCAAGCCGGTTACAATGGTCACACTTAGGACGAGGTTTGGAGTTAGATGACCCTCCTCGAAGGCGATTTTGATTGTTGCTAAGAGATGCAAGAGCAGCGGTGTCACCTGGTGTTGAAATAGCAATAGATGGAGGAGAAATCGGGCGAAACGCATGAGGTGTAGCCAAGCGCAACAATTGTTCACTAACTGTATCATAGTTAGGAACAATAGTACCTGATAAAATTTGGTTACGAACGGATTTGAGTTCTGATGGTAGTCCTTTAAGTGCCATGACCATGAAATATTTACTCTGTTGTTCGGCATGAGCTATTGCATCTTTTGTGTAAGGCATGAGGGTTGCGTAACTTGCTTTCAAGGCATCAAGCTTGCACATCCATATTTCCCAACTTCAGTGTGTTGAGTTTGTGGATAACACTGTATAGAGAATGAACGTCATTGGAAAAGACTTTTTTGGCCTTTTGCCACACCTCATAACAAGTGGAGAATGTTTGGTACTGCGCTTGGAGGTTAGGTGCTATGGAAAACCACAACACAGTACACAAAGAGACATCAGTTTTCTTCTATTTAGCGAGTTTGACGGCTGCAACATCACTCAATTGGGTGGTTAGATGCTCTTCATATCCTTGACCGTGAAACTACATCTCGACAGCACGAGCCCATATGTTATAGTTGGCTGATCCAGTTAGTTTTTCACATGGGATAAGCGGAACTTTAGTAAACGAGACAGAATCAGCATCTCTTGTGGCTTAAAACACAACAATTGGGGTTGTTTGAACAAGAGTACGACTTTCTGTGAGTCGAAAACGGAAACCGAGGGCGGATCTGGAACCGGAGGAGGAAGGCGATTTTCCGGTAAAAAAAAAATCCGTGAACAGTCACGGCGACGATGAGCAGTGCAGCGGCGGTGAACGGTGACAATTGCGGTGAACAGTAGCCCCCGGAAAAAAAAAATTCCCGTGGGCAGTGCGGCGGCGGAGGTCGCTGGAAAAAATTTTAAAAAAAAGGTGAGGCAAACCGGAATGATGACATGGTTTGCAGAAGAAAATTTCTCACCGGAAGACAGTGGGTCAACTGGGTAAAGCACGGCAAAGAATTGCCTCTTAGAAGGCTCTAGATACCATATTGAATTAGAAGAGACTAAGAGACATTTAGGTTAAACCGTGTGTTTTGAAAGCACTACGGAGACTTTATTATATATAGAGAGATTACAACTAATTACACGCAGAGTTATTAATCCCGGATAGCAGAACGGAGCGGCCGACCCCCGGGAATGGGAAGAGTGGGAATGGCGGGATCCCGGATAGCGGGATAACTTTTTGTATACTAATAATTATATAATAATCTATAAAATATATGTCATGTAATACTAAACTAATTTCACAACACTCATAAAATATTTATAAAATCTAATGTCAAACAAAGAACAATGTTTAATCAAGATTCAAAACATAAAGATTCAAATTCAAACTTAGTACTATCATATGAAAATTCAAGCAAACATAGAAATCATGTAGCATAATCAAAATATTCCTCCAATTCTTCATCTTCTTCATATTCCTCCAATTCTTCATCTTCAACTTCTTCAAAATAGAAAGAAACGGTGTTTACAACAAAACAAAATAGAAGAAGTAGAAAGTAGAAAGAAACATTAGAAAGAAAAGAAGTAGAAAGAAAAGAAGTAGAAAGAAAAGAAGTAGAATAAGTTGAAGTAGAATAAGTTGAAGAATTAGAAGAAATCACTTGAGATGGCAGAAGGAGATGGAGGAAGAACCGAAGAAGGAGAGTTGCAGGGAGATGGCGGCAGAATCGTAGAGGGAGAGTTGAGGAATTAGGGCACGATAAAACACAGCGAATGAGAGAGAAAGAAAACAAAAACTATTTTAAAACAGAGGCATTTAAGTAATTTGGCCCAGAAAATTGTTTAAAAAAAAAAAGAGAACCGGAGCCGCTCCGCCCGGGAACTTCCCGCTACCCGCTATCCGGGAACGCGGCTGAAGCGGCCGCTTTTTCATCTCCGCCACCGCACCCTAAATAGCGCGCGGGGGGGTGCCGCACCGCTACGGTGCGCCGCGATGGCGGCTGGAGCGCCCGCTATTGACAACTCTGATTACACGATATAATCAATGTGGGACTATTCTACATACAAATATTCTTAACACTATATATTTACAAATATCAACACTTCTAAAAGACGAGAAATTTCGAGGAGATTTTTTCATCAATTATGCCTTCAAAGCTAAACTGGATGCCTCAGCTACGGTCCATACAGTCTGTAAACCCATCTTCTCCTGCAAGGATCCCTTTAGGTCACTTATGTATCGAGCCACTTTCTGATTCTCCCAATTCATTGCGCTCAGAAAACCGCAGAAACTCAGCTGGTATTCAGTCACAGTTCTCTTGCCCCGAACACACTCGATGTACATGTTATAAAGAATATGTTCTTAATCCTCTAGTAAGAACCGCTCTAGCATCAATTGTTTCATTCTTCGTCAAGTTTTGACTAAACCCTTCCTTTGCATTTGCCTCTGAACAACAAGTTTATCTCACCAAACAGCTGCAGTACTCTTCAGCCTGATCGCCACCATCTTAACTTGCTTGTTCTCAGGAACACCCATAACGTCGAAGAATCTGTCAACATCGATCTTCCAATCTAGAAATTTCTCCACTCCCATCGTTCCATAGAATAATGGAATATCAGCCTTCTTCGAAACTCGAATTTTCAGCAATAACATTAATAGCACGATGATTGTTTCCACCCCATGGAACCCTAACTTGTTCTCTTCGATGATTCCTGTTGTTGTTGCCATTGTTCACCTGATTTGCTAAATTCGTCATCTGTTTAGTCAAAGCAGTTAGAGCCGCGGTAAAAGTCGTGGTAATTCCTTTAAGATCTGCTTTGGTCACCAGTTGATCCGCCATGGTTGTCAAGCTACGAAAAGAACAGGAGAAAACCTGCTTTGATGTCAACTGACACAGTCGGAAGCCCTAGAGAATAGCAAGCGCTAACCTAGAATGAAAAACAGGGTTGCAAGCGCAAAACCTGTCAGATAAGTTCTGGAGTCCACCAGAAATAAAGAAAATTTCAAATTTTATTATATGAAAGATAACCCTTATGGTCACGCCAAAGGTCTTTAAATACATAAAACAAAATAATCCTAATGGACCTTTAATTCAAAACATAATTAAATAAAACAAATAAAATAGAAATTACTTAAATATTAAAATAATATAGTTTAAATATTAAAATGCTTTCTGACGCGCAATATCTTCTTCGATACGCCAAAGAAGCCCTCCTACGTTACACTTAAATAAGCCAAACAATATTCCCTGCAGAAGCTTAGATGATTCAATTTAGCTGCGGCTGGACCTACTGAACCCTCTCTTGTTATGATTCATCCATAGGACAGAACTGACGGGAGTTTGGTGGCATAGAGCCAATCTATGTGTTTGTCGACCTTGTCGTGTGTGGAACTAGTAAACTTTAAGGTCTAGTCTTTGAGTTTAATTTTTAAATTTCCTGGGTCAATGTAGGTAAGAGAGTACTCATAAACATTAAATTTTATGGGTAAAAGACTGTCAAAACCAGTAATTTCCATATCCATCATGGACAAATTTTGCAATACCCATTGCCATCCTTACTCATCTACCTTCTACTATTTATTATTTTAAGCTAAGTCCATACTCTTATTAACCACCCAATCAATTAACTGTTTTAACTTATACTCTATCTGAGCCAATTACCATTATCCAATTTAACTGCATGTTAAATTTCATTCAAAAATTGAAAAAAACTGCATGTTTAGAATGGATAGTCAACCACCACCCCAACTAACCTGAGACATTGGAAATACAGGCGAAGTATATGCCCATATGTCATGTCTACTAAAAGCCATTTTATCACGTAAAACAAACTTTGAATCTATTTCCATGGGCTCGCTTGCGCCGCCCAATCTAAATCGGATAGCTTTAGCTGAATATATAGGGAAGCCATCATTAAAATAATCTGACAAGAAATACAAATTATACGTCAGCAGAAGCAAAAATTAGGAAACCTCGGCATAACTTATTTTTCAGTTCAAATTGATATACACAATACATCAACATATCTACGGGGCTAACCTTGGAATGGTTGGACCCGAATCTCTGTGACAAGACATATCTTGGAATATAGCCGATAAAGCAAAGTCTCGGTAACAGAAGGATCACTTTGCCCTATACTTGACCAATATGATGGGCCATGTTCAGTGATATCCCTAGGCTCCAATGTACTTGTAAGGCTTTCTCTTACGCAATCATCCGTGCTGGATGCACATATGGCTTGTGAGATGCAGTTGTTCATAGGAACGAGACCAAAAGCTAGTAGCGCATAGACTCTATGATTTCTATTAAGACGCTCTCGCTTTTCTGTATAATACCACAGCTTGCTGCCAACAACTTCAAACAAGTTGTCAACCTCAATGGTACGAACAACACCATATATTTCAGGAATCTTTTTCAAGCAAAGTTGCTTACAGAGGCCATTTTCAATAACTGCAAAATATTTAGATTTCATATTATTACTATTTGAACAGCAAAATAAAGCCAGAGAATATTGAGCTACTCACTGCATTACAGAAACAAGTGAGATAAATATACAGGACAATTTAGCATTAGAGAAATTCACTTTCAGAAGCATGCCATTAATGTAGCATACATAAAAACATTCCAAAAGAATAAGCATTTAAACAAATAAAGATACACGTGATAAAATCCTAGCACTGCAAGTAATAAAAGACAAATAGCTTACCAAAATCATTCCAAGAACTAGACACAGCAGATGCACGAACAAGATCACGAGAATTGTCCAAATAGGAGAAAACTTTAATTGACATGTCATGCCCAAGCCATTGGATCAAGTCCAAATTGGTTTTCACTTTAGACATTTTCTCAAGTATAAGATCCTGATTGCAAGCAAAGGTGGTCATTCAATAACTGCATAACAGCTAAAACTCAATGCCAACAATAGTGATATCAAAACGCAAACTGGAAATCTCACAAACATGGTCATCATGAAGAAACATTCTTCAAAAAAATAGCTATTCACCAAATATAGATTGTTTGTTTGGGAAAGTACGGGAAATTACACATTAACGAGTTGAAATCAATTTCTTTAAAAAAATCAGACCCTCTTATGATTAAAACACTGAAAAATATATGATAAAAAAGTTGAAAATTTGCCAACCACCAAAACATGATTAACGGATAGCACCTCGGATAAACATTATACAACTTTAGAAAATTATGACATTTGAAAATTCAACGCCAAAGCAAGAAAAATTCAAAGATATAAATCCTGGGCATTATTGGTGATATAACAGAAGATGGCACCCAAATATGGTCGATCCAGCCGCAAACCTTGATATCACGGGGACAATCACAGGAGAGCAAAAAAAATTAAATGGAAATTTTGCACCGATGACCAAATCATGCTAAATAAAAATAAGAATATAAGGAAAAGAGACATTCGAGGAAGGAAATCCATGCTTGTATTAAGAAAATATAAAGTCACAATGTTGCATGCGAAAACTGTGAACGCACATACTCATAGGCATGGAAAAGGAATTACCTTTCAGCAAGAGAGTACGAATCTGAGATGACAGAAGAAACCCTAGAAAGCGAGAGAAAACAAAAGCATAGAAATGGATGGCAAAGGATTTATAATTGTGGTGTCTTAAGGGTAGAACTCTTCTAGAATGACAAGTCATCCCTCAAATTAAATATTTTGAACATTTTTTCCCTCTATTATTTATGTACTTTTTCGGAAAAAAAATTATGTAGATTGAGATATTTTTGAGCCAATCTTTTTATTTGTCTATTTCTTAGATGTCTAGCGCACAATGTATGTGGTGTATCGATGCACAATCTTGTAATTGTCGTTGAATCTTAATTTTTTTTAATTTTTTTTTACTTACCAATAGTGCAAATATTGTAATCTACTAACCATTGTCGAATCAAAGTTTTGTTCACTTCGCTCTGCCCCCTTCGTGAATGGCTGGCCGTCTTGGTCTCCACTGATTTGTGCTTATCCATGTGTTGAAAATTGTCAGTCAAGCCATGGACCTCTCAGGTCATCTTTATCCTCACCGCCTTAACCATCACCAATCTGTAGCCCACTCTCTTCCTCCCTCTATCTGCCTCCCGTCAAATCGTCAATCCAAAACCTACTTTGACCTCTGTCTTTCTTCTCACACAAAGTCCAAACCCAAATTTCTCTAGTGTTGGTTGTTCAAGCACCCCACCAATCAATTTGTCTAGCCCAGTTCTGCAACTTTTACTCAACCCAAATCTAGAAACAATCCTTAATACCCAAGATAAGTTTTTCTTAGCAACAAATATGACTCCATAAGCAGCTGTTCTGCAAGAGCAGCATACTCGCTGTTGATCCTAATTCCCATCTCCTCTTTTGATGGTTCAAGATTTTCTTCACATTTCCACAATAAATAAATAGAGAAACTAGAATCATTTATTTTATATCATTCTAAGAATCATGGAAGAAGACTAATACCCTAAACCAACAACAAGACAGTAACAACCTTCTATTATACAAAACTACACTCATTTTACTAAATACAAACAACAAATTCTTAAAAAAATACAATTACAAGCAGAAATTTTATGGGAAAAAAAACACATAACTCGAGTAAAAGTAGAAAATGAAGAATGATACCTGAAATCAAATAAATCAGATTCCATTATGCAGTGGTCAATTTTGATTCTCTCCCGTCGCTGATTCTTTCTTCTGCCGAATTCCTCTTTCTGTGTTCGTTTGAATTGTGGCATAGAACGATTGTTTTATTTTCCAAAATAGAATTACAAAAAAAAAAAACATGTAAAAATCACCTTTCTTTACAAAATAAATACGTTTCATTTGTTTGATATTTATAAATCAACAATTTTAAATAAAAAATAAATAAATAAAATATGTTTTTATTTTAGTATATGTCATATTGAATCTATATTTTAAAATTTAGAACTATTTGATTATTTAATTAATGATCAATACGATATAGTTTTAGTCAATTAGATTGACGTTAGATTAAGAAATACATATGATTATGGTTTAAGTCATTCGTGTCAAGTCTCATTAAGAATATTACTTTAATTTATTAAAATTTTAAATTATTAAAGTATAATTCAAATCATAAAAATGACTTACTCGAATCAAACTAAATGTTAAAAATTAAGATTTTATTTTTGTAAATTTGATTTGGATCAGAGGTTGTCTCACTAGAATCAAACATGGTTATGTAAATTTGGATTTTGCTTATGTGAGTTTGGTTTGAATAGCAGTAAAGCATGAATCGAATCAGAGAGGTTTGATTCAAATCATGAAGAGGTTTGATTCAAATCATGAAGAGGTTTGATTCAAATCAAAGTCTGACAACAAATTTTGAACTTTGGTTCTATAGTTCAGATTTGAATCGCATAACGATAACTCAGATCATAAAAAGGGTTGATTTGAATCATGGAGTAGATTTTCTTAGTTCTTGGGTGTTGTATCCCAAAATTTGCCCTCTCATTTTACTCAAGTCATGCCCATTGAGGTCCTCAAACTGCTCAAGGATGACTAAGAATTGACCAGACAAATTCTCATCCTAAGACAATAAATCCCTAACTAGGATTTCAATTTTCATAAAGATGTGTGAGCTCCAATGGTCTCAAATGTTTTCCATGATTCTAATATGTCTTCAAAATTGTCCATGACAAATTTCATGCCTTGCACAACAAATTTGCTCAATCAATTGCTCAAATGCCTAAAAATCAACTATATTAGGTCAAAAGTCAATTGTGACCTATATAAGATGCCATAAAAAATTCTCTTTAAAAAATTATAATGCAGCTAGATTTTTTTATAAAAAATTAAAGATCAATTAATAGGACAAACTAATCCGTTTTAATCGATTAAACTATTATGTCAGTTTGATATATTTAGCCAGAGCCAACCCAAACCTACATGTGTCTATCCCTAATTTAGCACATGCCTCAAAGGTGAATGCTAAATCTATAGGTTATAGTCTAGTAAATAAATTTGCAAAGGCACCGACACAAACATTTTGATGAGTAACCTTCATATTTTCATCTTGAGACAACTGATATGAGCATAAAACACTTACAAGGGCAAAATTGAACAACTTGGTATCTATCATCAAGCATTAAACTTTGTTTATATAAATTCCAAACATTTACAAGGGCAAAATAGAACAACTTGGTATCTATCATCAAGTATGGAATTTTATTTTTATAAATTCAAAACATTTACGAGGGCAAAATAGAACAACTTGGTATCTATCATCAAGTATGAAATTTTATTTATATAAATTCAAAAAGTAATCGATGCTATAATAAATCCAAAATCAATAATCTCATTTAACATAATGTGCTAAAAATAATAATCCTATGCTCATCATTTCTATTGAATAACATATACACATTTCATCAATCTGGATTTGTGAAATCCATCAATTACCAACTTATCAATTCCATTTAAATTGGCAATAATGCTCTTCTTCAGTCAATATTTGACCCAAACGACAATATGTGAGAGGGAGAGATGAGATTTGAGAAACATACCATATGTAGAATAAATTATCATTTTCATTTTTTTGAGCACTTCCCAACAGCTCCACTATCAGAAAACCTCCAATGCAGAAAACAGGTTCAGGTAGCTTGAAATGCTGTAACTTGTTTTCCTGTACAATATGCCGCCAATGCATTTCAAATTTCATAAATATTGGCACAAAAGGGTTTTCAAGAAAGATTAGAGAAGAAGAGAGAAAAGAAAACTGTAAACTGAATTTGAGAAGCTTGAGAAGCTGTATTGCAAAAGTTGTTATTCGTAAAACTATGCAAGGTCATGCTTATTTATAGGTGATCAAGGCCCAAGCTCAAAATATATAATCCAAACCTCAAATATACAAAGTTATATTTTGACTTCGACACAACAACTATATGATGTATTTGATTTTGTCGAATACAATTGACTTCTACTACTTTGACTAAGTCGAACACACCTATGTCGAATACAAACTTTCTACAAAACAATGAATTACAACTTTTAACACACCACCTAATTCATGTTTTCGAGACTTTTCATCTCAATGCTTTTCTTCAACTCATCGAACCTGACTTTCTTCAAGGGTTTGGTAAGTATATCAGCTAGTTGTCATTCTGTCTTGCAATACTCAAGTTCAAATTTCCCTCTATTTACTTGATCCCTAAAAAAATGATATCTTCTCTCTATGTGTTTACTTCGACCATTACACATATGATGATTCGCTAGGTCGATGGCTGACTTGTAATCTACAAACACCTTCATTTTCTTAGGTTTCATGATCTTGAACTCTTCTAGCTGTTAATCAGGAAATAATCAAACACATTTATTGTGAATAATTTACATTCATAGAATAGGAAATTGCCATTATAAGTTGTAATTAGTTATTATGAGTTGTAATTAGTCATTATGAGTTGTAATTACCGACACTATTATATATAGTATCAAATACAATGAGAAAGGGATCAAGCCAGAATACATGACATGGTATCATAACGGTTCGATCTAACCTGTGAATCCTTGTTCTCTTGGCTGAATAGCGACACCCCACTGGGTCGCTCTTGAAATCGTGTTTCTTGTTTGTATTTCTCGAAATATGAAATCTTTCAATTGTCGTTTCGTGATTTCCTCATTGTTGTTGCTTCGTGATCTTGATTCTGTGTTTATCGCACGTTGTTTCGATGATCGTTAATCATTTGGTGTTGCTAACATATTGTGCTTTGCAATTCTGTTTCGTATTCTCGGCGATTCCGCTTGGTGATCGTTGTTCTTGGTGATTCTGTTCGGTGATCGTGGTTTCATTGTTGAAATTGTTGGCGATTTCTAGATCGT